CGAGGGCAGCAGAGGGGAGAGGCCCAGGCTCAGAGCCTGCAGTCCGACTTCTGCACACACACTGCTTCCAGGCCATCATAAAATGAAACACCCTGAATCCTGTATTTTCAGAGCGCAGGCGGAGGGAGGGTGGGGGGCAGCCTCAGCAGGAGCCCACCCGAGAACAGAGCCTGGGCTCGGTGGGGCTGGGAAGAGGCCTGTGTCCATCCAGTCCTGCACCCGGCAGCCGCAGAGCCGTCTGGAAGGGTGTGTACAATCCTAATGGCTGGATTGCTGATGCCAGACTTTCTAATTCAGCCAGGGCTGGGCCTGACTGTAGCCTGGGGAGCTCCTCCTTGGGGTAGGCCAGCGATTTGGGGAGGCCTCTGACCTCCTGCCCTCCAGCCCTGACAACCCTGGCTGGTGCCACAGCCTGACCGGGAGTTGGGCTGTTTGAAAGGCCTTCTGTGTCTGGTTTCCTACTGCTTAGGCCGCCCAGGCTCACGGTAGACAGCTCAGCACTGTGGCTGCTGCCTCCTGCTGTCAGGGCTTCTGGGGAACAGTCTGTGACATGGGTCCAGTTGAGCAGTGGCAGCTGGCAAGGGCCGCTCCTGTCCCTAGACAGTTCCCTTCAGGCCCTGGTACTGTGCTTGGATACAAGTGGCAGGTGGTGTGGCAGGAAGGCAGCCCGTCCGGCACGTGTGCCCATGCTGTGTCCGTGGAGCCGCTGCCACGTGCCAGGCAGGCCGAAGCCAGGCGGCAGTGGCAGCACAATGTGGCTGAGCCCTGGCCTTGGCCTCTGTGATTAGAAGAATGCGCTTGACTCCACCCTGTGCGGCCAGGTGGGGCCCAGAAGGGCTGCCCCTGTCCTGAGTCCTCTTCTGCCCTTCCTGTGTGCGCAGCGTCAGAGGGCAGAGGGCTGGGAGGCGGGATTTGTGTGTTTCGTGAGGAAGAGAGGCTGTGGCTTTCATTCATCCAAACCTGTCTGTCCCCATGAAGATGCCCTTCCTGCCAATGGAGGCTTGTGCCGCCGCGAGTCTCAGGGCTCTGTGTCCTCTGCAGGGAGCCTGGACCTGGTGAGTCCCCGTCCATCACTTCCCTGTCCCCCCCCCAGTCCCCAAGGGGCAGCACACAGTGCACGTGGCGCAGCCTCGGGCTCCCGGGCAGTGCGGGGAGCTCCAATGCAGAAGGTGCTGCTTGAGGGCCACAAGCAGCCTGGGTTTCTCCTAAATCCTTTTGTTCAGACTTGGTTATTTTAAAGCCCCACTAAGAGCAAATAAAATGCTTGGAAGCCAGGTGCTTTGTCTTGCTGTCATTGTCTGACCATCCCTTGACTCCACCGTCCCAGGGTTGGTACCCGCTAGTGGGGTCTCCCGGGAGCCGGCACCCCCTAGCCCACAGCCGCACCCGCCTGCTCAGAGCGCTCCTGGCCCTGCCCAGTCGTGCCAGGAGCTTGTGGGGCAGCCCTGCCTGGGCACGGGCCTGCTGGTGGTGGTCAGGCGAGGCATGTCCTGTCGCTCAGAGCTTCCGAGCAGCAGTTAGCGTGGATGTTCCTTCTGCACACTTCTGCCTGCTTCCTGGAGCTGCAGGCTGCGCCATGTGCCTGCCAGCTGTTGCTGTCTGATAACCCCAAGCCCAGGGGACCGGAGCAAGGAACACTTGGCCTTGCCCTGTGCCTGGGGGTCAGCGGGGCAGTCCTGCCCGTGTCTCTGGCCCTGGCCTGGCAGCTGGGCCACTGTTCCGTCTAGCCCTGGGGGAGCTGTGGCTGAGCCAGATGTCTGCATCCTCTGTTCGTGCCAGGCCTGTTCCTGTGGTGGACTTGGGGACCAAGAGCCAGCAGAGCAGGGAGACCGCTGGAGGCCTAGGCCGGCTGCTGGCACAAGCCCCTTCGGCCCAAGTCCCAGCGTGTGCACAGCCTAGCCCTCATGGAGCCTCACATGAACAGGGCAGGGAGTAGCCAGGGCCGCTTCTCAGCCGTCACCACCCTGCAGCAAGGGCCCTAAATTATGCTTAGGGGAAATGATGCTGTGCCCAGTTTGCAGCAGAGCGATGTCTGCAGGTCACTGCTGGCAGACGGGACGTGATGCCCTGATGCAGGGGCCTGGGAGGAGAGCAGCCTGGCTTTGGCACGCATGTCTTCGTGGCTTGGAGGCTCCCACACGTGCTCTCTGCCTGCAAGGTGGTGGCCCTGCTCCCAGGCGGGCTGTGCCCCCAGTGCCTGTAGCCTTCTGTGAGGACAGAGACTCAGGGCCATGGCCAGCTGTCTGGGCAGAGAGTGCCACGTCCCGGGGCCCTGGGGCTTGCACTCACATGGAGCTGCGGGGGCACAGGCGGAGTTGTGGTGGAGCCAGGCTGGCTGTGTCTTCCCAGGAGGCATCCGCACCCTGTGACACCACGACTGCCTGTCTCCCTGCCCCACAGCCAGAGGCCTGCAGGACCCTGGTGCCGGAGAAGGACAAGGCTGTCAAGCACTGCTGCATCCACCTCCCGGATGGGACGTCCTGTGTGGTGGCTGTCAAGTCGGGTTTCTCCATCAAAGAGATCCTGTCTGGCCTCTGCGAGCGGCACGGCATCAACGGGGCCGCTGTGGACCTCTTCCTGGTGGGCGGGGATAAGGTACTGGGCCCACCCTGGGTCCCTGGAAGGACAGTGGCCCATCTTGTCCCCACCTGGCATCCCCCCTTGGCTTCCTTAGTGCCCTCACGCCTGGGTACCCTGCTGCTCTCCGACGTGCGCATCGGAGCGGGACGCAGAGCAGGGTTGCGGACAGGGAGATCCTGCGGACGGAGCTGGCACTGGGCTGTCCTGGGATTCGTGGCGGTCTCCTGCATGGCTGTTTTTGAAGCTGCTCTTTCGTTCTGCATAGCTGTGTGCTGGCCGCGCATTGTTCCGCACCCCAGGGGCCACGTGCTCCCCCCCTGACTCTGGTCTCTTTGTTCTGAAGCCTCTGGTGCTGCATCAGGACAGCAGCATCCTGGCATCGAGGGACCTGCGTCTGGAGAAGCGCACGTTGTTTCGGTAAGAGAATGTCGCACACTCCGCACTGATTCCAGACCATTGCACACTGCTGGCCTCTGCTCTTACCTGGGGGTGGGGAGGGAGGCTTGCCAGCGACTCCCAGGCACCTGGTGGAGGGAGTGGGGATGGCAGACAAGGGGCCACCCCTCCTTCCTGCCCCAGAGCGGCCACCCTGCCTTAAGACCACACAGGGAAGTGGGGGGCAACGGCTGCAGTCAGGCTGCCTGCAGCTCTGCCTGTCTGTGCCGACAAGGTCCGCGTCTCCTGCTCCATCCAGCTCTACATGCCAGCCACCCTGGGCACTTGCTCCTGAGGAAGGTGCACCGGCCAGGGACAGGGCCAGGCTGTGCGTGCTTCTGTGCTGTCTGTCCTGGGTCTCCGGACGCCGTGGGTGTGAGGGTCTCTGAATGTGTTCATGCCCCCAGACTGGACCTTGTTCCGATTAACCGCTCCGTGGGACTCAAGGCCAAGCCCACCAAGCCTGTCACGGAGGTGCTGCGGCCAGTGGTGGCCAAGTACGGCCTGGACCTGGGCAGCCTGCTGGTGAGGCTGGTGAGTGGCAGCCTGCTGTGCTTCATGCAGCTGCGTGATCGCGGACGAACGGGGTGTCTGCACCGTCTCTCGTTCTCTGGAAAGGACGGCCACTGGTTTGTAACTTGGTTGTTCTGAGAAGCATTCACATTGGCCATGGGGTTTTGCCCCATAGAAACCAAAACAAGAATCAGCCAGCTCACTCTGGGAGACCAGGAAGGGGTGCCTTGGCCTCCCAGCCTCCTCGCCTTCCAGCCTCAGAAACGCCCCCAGGCGGCTCTTGCACACAGGGCTGCTCCCTTGAGATGTGAATGAGGGGGTGAGGACGGCACTGGGCAGGAGGGCCGCGGGCATTTACCCACCCTGTCCCCTGGGCACAGGTTGGCAGTGGGGGCCAGTGGACAGTGGCCGCGAGGTCCTGTGTGGACTCAGGTGCTGTGGTCGGGGCCCAGCATCTGCCCGACACCTCCTTTGCCTTTATCAGAGCTGTGGGTCCAGGTATTTTTAGGAGTCTCATTTTCTCTGAAAGTGGCCTCAGAATTGCCAAGGAGCTTTGACGTAAGCAAGAGGAATCTTTCCTCTGTTCAATTATTCAGACCCCAGCTCCGAGGGTAACCTGAAGCTGCTTCTCTACTGCAGGCTCCACCCAAGTCCAGAAACCTTCAGGGTGGAGCTGGATCTGGTCTGCATTCAGCTGAGAACTTAAGCAGTCTCTCCACCCCAGTGCCTCAGTGTCCCTGTTTGTAAAATAAAATACAGAAGGGCTGGCCAGGGTTCAGTGAGGGCGGGAAGACCCTGCCCTTCCAAGGGAGCCCTGTGGCCCCTGAGGCTTGGAAGCAGCCTGTGCCTGTCCTTACCACCAGGCCCCATGGACTGCGGCCTGGCCCCTCTGAGCAGCAGTCTGCCCGGAGGTCTGCTCTCCATCGGGACCGGAGTTGGAAATGCCAACCTGCACCCTGGGTATCCCTCTGATGAGTGGCAGTTGTCACGAATAGCAAGGTTCTGCGGAGGACGAGCGCTCAGGTCCCCTCGCCCCGGCTGGCACCAAGGACGCTCTGCCATCTGCCTTGGCTCAGTGTCTGCACTCAGGGATGCCATGAAGTCATAGGCAGTGTTGACTACATGGACCCGCGTCCATACCTGAACGCAGCGTGTCACCTGTATGCAGGTGGTCCCCCTGCAGCCTGAGGCATCTCCAGCCCATGCCAAGAGCCCCCCACCCCCATGAGCCATGAATGGAAAGGGCTTCAGTGCTGTGGGCCAGCCTGGTCAGGCAGCCCTGGCTGCGGGGCCAGCCGTCCAGAAAGTTCCAATTTGGCAGTGTCCTCAGCATATCGCCTCTGCCTTAGAGTGGAGAGAAGGAGCCCCTGGACCTTGGTGCCCCGATATCGAGCCTGGATGGACAGCGGGTCGTCCTAGAGGAGAGGGACCCAACCAGAGGCCGAGGTGAGTGATGGTGTGTCGCCGGCCCCCTTGCCCTGGCCTGCTGCTTGGGTGTGAGGTGGTATTGTCTCATGGCAATACTGTGGGCCTCTGTGAGGGGCCTGGACCCCCACATGCCTTTGACCTTGCCAGCGGCATTTTCACACTGAGCCCGGCCCGCCCCACATGGAGGAGCCCCTGAGCGCATGTTCTTAGCTGCAAGAGGGCGACAGTCTCTGCCTGCTCAACCGCATCCCTGGGCCTTGGGGAGCTTCGTCTGGACAGCCCTAGGAGGCGCCCTCTTCCTGGGGGTGTGAGTAACTCAGGATAGAGGCCTTGCTGGTCCTTCAGCTGCGACCTTGGCCTGGAGCCAGCCCTCTGGGGAAAACAGGCTAGGCCACGAGGACAGTGGTGGGCATGGCCTGCCCGGCAGGAGACGGGGCCGGGCTGTGTGTGGCCTGCTGTGCTGCCCTCAGCTTGGTAGCTAGTGCTCAGGGTGCTTTCCCACCTGTCACATTGCTGCGACAGCCCTGTCCTTGGGTGCTCACAGCCCTGCCCAGCCCTGTGCTTCCCCAGTGCCTCAGGAACCTGCACCCTCTCCAGGGGCTGCTGCTGTGGGTGGGCCCCCACGTGGCCCAGCGCTAGGAGGCGCCCTCTTCCTGCGGGTCTGAATAACTCAGGATAGAGGCCTTGCTGGTCTTGCAGCTGCGACTCAGACCCCCAGGGGGAGGACGCGGGTCCATGTAGTCAACGCTGCCTATGACTTCAGGGCAAGGGGGCCGGACTGCAGGTGGAGGGTCTTCAGGGCGAGGCTGATGTGGCTGGAGTGGGCCACCACAGCTGCTCCAGGCAGCCTTTCCTCTCAAGCCAGGCCTGGGGAGTCTTGAGGTCCCCTTCTGAGGTGAGCCACACACAGGCGTGGGCACCTGTCCCATCCCAGTGATGGGGTGGAAGTGGGCACTGTACCCTACCCCTGCCCACAGAAGGAGGACCTTTTCCTACATCGCACTTGTGCCTGGCGCTAGTGACGCCGGGTGAGAGCTGCGTGTGCAGCCCCGTGGCCGCCTTCCCTGCCAGAGCGCCTGCAGCTCCCCTAGGGCCCAGCAGGCTCGGCCCGAATGTCCGTGGGCAGTGCATCCTCCGGTGCTCACACAGGAGCCGTGCTGTGGCTCTGGGCAGCTGGGGCTGGGGAGTGCCCGTTAGACTCTCCCCGAGGCCAGCCTGCCGCCTGCCATGCGGTGCTGGGCTCGCAGAGTCTCTGTTCCAGAACAGGCGGGCCACATAGCCACTGAAATGAGGTTTCCACACTGTTCGTCTGAATGCGCCCAGCTAACCTCACAGAGCAGTGGAGCCCCTGCACCCTCAGCTGGCAGACAGTGGGCAGGGCCCTGTGATGTTTCAGGTGTTGGCTGGCGCAGGCACCTCACAACAGGGAGGGCGAATACCAGTGGCTCCTCGCAACTCTACCCTCGGAGACAGGAGAGACGATGACTGGAACCGTGAGACAGCTTCTGGGTCCCAGCTCACCCTGTTGTGTTTAGCACCCACAGATAAGCAGAAGGGCACCCCGGCCAAGCCCAGTGCAGCTGCCAGCTCCCGCCCCAGAGACCGCTCAGCCACGGTAATCCCGCACGCCTGTCCCCGTCCCTCTCAGCCCCTCCCAGCGCACCCCTCCCCCCGGGGCAGGCCAGGGCCCTCTGCTCCCTCAGGAGCCTGCTTGTCGCCCTTTGCTGGCACGGGCGCCTGCCCCGTGCTTCCCCAAGGCCCGTGAGCCATGCGCGGTGTGCCCCAGCCGCGTCGTCCTGTGGGGGTGGCCCGGCCGCCGGCGCGGTTCTGTCACGTGTTATTGCAGTTGGTTTCCTCAGTGCCCTCAAATCCTGTGCCCGTGTGCTCTGTGTCTTGCGGAGCCTTTCTCTCTGTGACTACTGCATTGTGTGTTGTCATGTGTGAGTAGAACTCTGGCTTTCCTTTAATGCAGGGAGAGGAAAGAACACTAGGCAAGTCTAATTCTATTAAAATAAAAGGAGAAAATGGAAAAAATGCTAGGGATCCCCGGCTTTCAAAGAGAGAAGAATCTATTGCAAAGATTGGGAAAAAAAAATATCAGAAAATTAATTTGGACGAAGCAGAGGGTATGTGTACTTTTTAAAACTTCCACATTTTTTAGTCACTGCACTACCGGTTTCCACTCTGCCCTGTCCACAGCCGCAGCCCCTGGCATCCCGAGGCTCTGGTGTAACTTTACCAAAAGTTTGAGCCTGGAGCCCTGGGGACCTGCAGCCCAGCCTCACTCAGCCTGTGTCCCACCTACAGCCCAACCTGCCCTGAGCTGGGGCCAGTGTGGGGGCAGCGGTCAGCATCAGGGTGCCACATTGCAGGGGCCCCACCGGGCAGAAGAGAGGAAAGCGGCGTCCCAGGCTGGCAGGGCCGTGGGTGTGCCGACCTCTGCTTGCCGTCAGAGGCCAAGGCCTTTGCCCGCTGCACCAGGGCCTCCAGGAGAGCTGCAGGGCGCCAGAGACTGCAGGGGCGGGGGGCGTCCCTTGTGGGATCTGCTTGCATGAGCTTGTAAGTGGGGGAGGGTGTCAGCACAAGCAGCTGCGACTCACAGTGGCTGAGCCGTGGTTCAGGGAGCCCCGGCCAGGCTGTGCCCTTGGACACGTGTTTCTGAGGGTGATGGAGATGGGGGCAGTCTTGGACTCTGTGTGGTTAATTTCATTAGCGAGTATAACGCAGCTGCTAGAGACACTGTGCTCAGGAGCCTACGCGCAAGTGGGGAACTTGAGTCATAGCCCCAGGCCAGTGGAGAGAGACGGGTGCTGTAGGGCCAGGGGTGAAGCCAGGCTGCACACAGCCCTCTGGGGGGACCACAGAGGCAGGCCGATGTGAGCCCAGGCAGATGTCTGGCCCCTGGTTTCAGGGCTGTGGCTCTGGCGCCCTCATCTGGCCATCACTTCTACCTGGTCCTCAGAGGGGGTCCATGCTCCGGCATGAAGGGGCCAAGTGGTCACAACCGCCCCCGGGCCCAGCAGCACCCCGCCAGGCACCACGCATACGCCACCTGCAGGCAGGGGCTTCGCGCTTCCAGGTCTGGACTTCGCAGTGTGGCTGAGGGCAGTGTGGAGCCAGCTTTTCCCAAAAGGACAGTTGTGCAGAAGCGGGTGGAGGGGCGGGATGGCACAGACGGGCTCGGCCGCCCCGGCCCCGCGCTGGGCTGTAGCCGTAGCTCAGTACAGTGACACCCAGGCAAGTGCTTGCTGGATGAGCACCCTGCTGTGACGCGCATCCACACGACTCTCTCTGAAGCATGCTTCATGTGGGTTTTCTTCCAATAGAGTTTTTTGAGCTCATTTCCAAAGCTCAGAGCAGCAGAGCCGATGACCAGCGTGGGCTGCTGAGGAAGGAGGATCTGGTGTTGCCCGAGTTTCTTCGCTTGCCTCCTGGCTCCACGGAACTCGCCCTCTGCGCCCTGGCCCCGGCCAAGGGCTTTAGCAAGAGACCCGAGACAACAGGCCACGGCAGGGAGAAGGCCTCCCCACCCAGCGACAGCTCGGCCACCAGCCCCGGCTCGGCCCAGAGCTCCGGCTCGGCCCAGAGCCCCTGTTCGGCCCAGAGCCCTGGCTCGGTGCACAGCCTTCCTGGGCCTCCCGGGGCCACCCCGCCCGGGCAGAAGGTGCAGGAGGGCACCACACAGGTCTGGAGGAGGCAGTCTCGGGAAGTCGAGGCCGGGGGCATCCAGACGGAGGACGAGTCCGGGGCTGACCTGACCCTGGTGGGGGAGGGGGACATCAGCAGCCCCAACAGCACGTTGCTGCCGCCGCCCCCGAGTCCCCAGGATGCGCTGGGACCTCCGAGAGCAGGTACCTCCAGGTTCTGACCCTGCATCCCTGGCCCTGTCCTGCCCACTGCCCGCAGTGTGGGTGCTCAGTGTCCAGGGAGGGCACAGCCGTGGTGAGCGGCCTCTGACTGGCACCTTCCCTCTGACGACGCCCTCTGGGGGACGCTGCCTCCTCTGTGCCGAGTGACGGCCAGTGTCTTCTCCGGAAGCAGGGGCTCAGTGGCAGCCGGGGCTCCCCAGGGTGGATCCTCGAAGGGCTCAGGCAGAGAGACCCATGTGGCGTGGCTCCTGCACGCCTGCCCAGGACCTGGGAGGCAGGGGTTCAGTGGGCGCCCCAGTGTGGTCTGGATTCCTGAAAGCGTGGCTGTTACTTAAACCTGCAGAGCTGGTGTCTTTAGTGTTTTAGTCTCAAGATGGCAGAAACATAGTATTTGTCTTGAGCAAGTCAGCTCAGCCCTTGTAGCCTATGTGGGGCTGCGGCTTACTGACGCAACCCCCACGTGCCCCCTGTGCGCATTCAGCAGGCACTCCCACCTCAGCGCCCCCTGCCCTTAGCACAGCCGGCATTGGGAGTGAAGCCACGACATTCGGTGTGTGTGGCGGTAGGCAGCATGGCCAGGCAGCAGTGCTCCTGGCAGCCGCGCTGTGGGTGGGCAAGGCCCTCGCACCTGTGCTGGCCGAGAGGGTCTGGAGTCCCAGCGCTCATGGCTACGGGCTGCCCTCGGGGAGGCGGGCACCTTTCAGCACAGGCTTCCGAGAGCATGCAGGGTGGGGCACCCACACCCAGTGTCTGGGCCGCGACCTGCTGTTGGGGTGACGGCAGGAGTCCCCTCCCCCACTGGGTCAGGTTGCCCAGGACGCCCCAGCACTGGGTCTGGTGGGACCTCGGCGGGCAGGGAGGCCATTCCCAATGCATGTTCCCTGTATCTGCACACGTCGGGCTCTGGCAGGCACGGCTATGGGCAGCGGGCAGCAGCTCTTGTGGCCACGCCGTCCTCTGTGCCTGTGTAGACGCCTGCATGTGGTTTCCACCTCTGTCCTCCATCTGTTCTTTCACCGTAATAAACTCTCACCTTTCACTGGACTGCTTCAAACTCTTTTCTTCTTCATTTGCAAATGTGTTTCTGCTTTTTGGAAAACTACAGTTTTACTTTCTGGATCTGGAGGAAGTAGTACATACTTGGAGGACATTAAATGGGTTTACTTTAATATAGTGGCTTTAAAAAATATTTCATTCATTCAGTGCACCAAATTCTCACACCCTCATGTGTGTGCCAGAGGCAGCAAGGTGACAGGGAAGGAGCAGCCATCCTGTGCCCGTCCTGCCCCGGCCCAGTCCCCAGGAGCGGTGAACACAGCTCAGGCCGGGCTCCTCCACCCGGAGCCTGCGGCCCTGGCTCTTCGCCTGGGCCCCTCGGCAGCGTGAGAGGTGGGGGAGCCCAGGGCCTCTGACGTCATCCTCAGCCCCCAGCGGAGCTAGGCGCTGGCGCAGAGCCCTTCTCCCACCTCCTCCCAGCCACGCGTCCCAGCCACGTGTCTCACTGCGTCTGGGGCGGCCAGACCGCGCGGTACCTGCACAGGGGCAGCGCTCCCACCAGGGCTGTGGCTGTGGCAGGAGCGGGCACATGGGTAGCAGTGGCGGAACGAGAGGGTGCGGCTGACCCTTGGACCTGGGGCTCTGTCAGGAGGCGGCGGTGACACGGGAGGGCTTTGCTGTAGTCCTAAGCCCGGGCCTGGCGTCCTGCGGGCCTCCTGGAGGCGCTGGCACCCTGCAGCCCTCTCAGCACCCCAGTGAGTGCTCGAGAGTCTGGCTCTTGAGGGTCCCTTGCTGCAGGCGCCTGCCGTGCTGGGCCGTCGGGCCATCTGTCTGGCCATCTGACCTACTGTCTGTCTGTAAACACCCTTGCTGCGCCCTTGGTGTCGGTGATTCTCTTGTGCCCTGACGCCACTCCTGGGGTTTAGAAGGCGGAAGGCAGCACCCTCTAGCTACTCGCCTCACTCTGACGGCTGCCCTGAAACACTTCTCCGTGACACCGTGGCCACCGCTGCCCCAGCATCCTGGGAGGGAAACACCATGGAGATGTGGCAGGTCCCCTTGCCATGGCCTTGGGCCAGGCCGCCTGTGAGGGAGCCAGCTGGCTGGGGGACAAGATCCTCCTGAGGCCTGGACATGGGGCGAATCTTCCCATCCGCCAGAGGCTGCCAGACGATGCACTGGGACAGAGATGCCCAGTGAAAGCCGGGCCAGAACCCTTCCTCAGGGCCCCGGGCCTCAGGCGGACGTGTGCTCTGTGCATGCATCTCTGGCATATTTTATGTGTTTGTGTCTTGACACGAATAGCCAAGTCTCCTTGTGGTGGGGAAAAGCCCCCTGTGTCTCCCTGTCTGTGAGCCCGTGACCCTGGGCAGGTGTCTGAGGCCCTGGCCGGAAGTGGTCTTCTGGATTTCACGAAGGACAGAGGCGTCCCCAGGGCAAGGACCTGGGCCAGTCCCCCAGGACAGTGTCCCACCTGGGTGAGTCTGTGGCCTCCTTCCCAGCCTTCAGTTTCGCCCTGTGGCTGGGGGGTCCCCCGAAAGTGGGATGCACCTGTGCCTGAGACCCCTGTGCCCTTGTGGCCTGGCCCCAGCCCTGGCAGAACTGTGCTCACCCCTCCAGGGCCTGGCCCCCCACAAGGCCCCTGGAGGCCAGGCCAGGGCCCTGGCTGAGGAGCAGCTGCTGAGGGGCCGTGGCCAGGCTGAGCTCCCCAGCTCGGAGGCCTCGTGCCCCTGAGTCTTGGTGCCAGAGTCCCCAGGGGGCATGTCAGACCCTAGAGCGGCCCTGCGGAGACCGTCCCCACTCCTGGTCAGCCCAGGGCCGAAGGCCTGGAATGAGGTTGGGGTACCCAGACCGGTGTCCACAGTGTGTGAGCAGTTCTGGGAGCCCGCCCAGTCCCCCCCCCCCGTGTACCCTTCCCACCCTGCCACCCAAGTGTCCCACCGACTGAGCCAGGGGCGCCGCAGCCGAGCTGCTGAGCGGGCAGAGCCTCCCAGAGCACAGCCTGTGCTGGGCCTCAGCCTGCAGCTGCGCCAAGTGGACCTCGGCCCTGCCCCCACCCTGCAGATGCCTGGCCCCTCACCCTCCTCTGCCCTCCCTCCTGTGTCCTGACCAGGTCTAAGGTGGCAGCCACAGGGTGCCCTACCCCACCCTGGCCCCTTGGCACCCACAGCCCCTGCCCGGCCTGCCAGCGTGCCATCTTGCTCGGCGTTACCTCCTGCCTCCATGGTGCCTGTCCTGGGTTCTAGTCACCCTGCCACTGTGTGAGGACCTTTGACCCACCCCACCCCTCCTGAGCGGGGCCCTGTGGGAAGGGGGCTGTGACCTCAGGGTGCCCAGCAGGAGGGGCTGGCCAGCAAGAGGGACTCGGGCAGGAGGAGCCCGAAGAGCTGTGGGCCTCTGTGAAAGGCTGGGGCAGGGTGGCAGGGTCCTGGGCTCCGTGCCTGCCCCAAGCCCTCCCAGCACTCGCTGGTTCGAGGTCCCTGGCTCCGCCAAGGACAGGGCGGGGCCAGGCCACGCAGGTGATGGGAGCACAGGGCAGAGTTCAGGAGGGGGCTGGTCCCGGTGAGGCCAGGGGCAGAGGGATGAGCGGCGGCTGGACCCCCGGACAGCTGTGTCCTGCAGGGCCAGACCTGTGCTGCTTAGGGTCCCCATGAGCCTGGGGCCTTGAGGATGGGCGAGGGCTGGGGTGGAGCTGCGCTGACCCAGTTCCAGCCAGGAGCAGAACCTCTGAGCGCCTGGTGGGCAGGAGGACCTGCCAGAGCGGGCCAGGCAGGAGCAGGCATAGCGCTTGGGATGGGCCAGCAGGGGCTGGGAGCTGGGCAGGGGCACTGGGTGGGCCCTGAGTGCAGGGCCCCCACTGTTATCGTGCTGTTGAGTGAGACTGCTGGGCAGGCAGGGGGCCTGGGCTGTGGCCACTGTCCCTGCGACACCCCCAGCACTGTCCCTGCACCCTCACCGTCCGGAGGACCTGGGCTGTCTGGGACTGAGAGGGCACTCCTAAGCTGGGAGCGGTGGGGGCAGCCTGAGAGGGCACTGGGCTGATCTCCCTGTCCACTGCTTGGTCATCTCCAGCCCCTGACACATAGGCCAGGCAGGGACAAGACCGGGTCCCGGCAGGCCCTCAAAATGTTTGCTGAGGGACTAGAGGTCCAACCGGGCAGAGTGTCCGGCCCAGATGCTGTGCAGGAAGAGGCCAGGCCAGACCTTTGCCCCGCCCCCTCCCCCAGCAGGGTCTGTGTCCGTCCGCAAGGCCTTGTGGAAGCCCATTCTGGAAGTTCGAGGCTGGGGTGTGACGGGGTGTGTGGGGTCGGGGGCTTGGGGACTAGAAGCTGGAAAAACAGGCCAGGGTGGAGGGTGGAGTGGGACCCCTGTCCCTGCTCCTGGGCCTATCCCCTGGGGCTCCTGCTGGGCTGACCCTGTCTTCTGTGGCTCTGAGAGGACAGAAGGTCCCTGATCCCCACTCCACAGAGGGGACACAAGTGGCCCAGCAGGGAACTTCCTGGGCCCTGCCCCACCTGCAGGTCACCCCACCAGGCCCGGGTGGACAGGTCTGCCCTCCAGGGGCCCAGGCATGGCAGCTGGATGCGGTGGACACAGGAGACGGGCAGCTTGGGCACGCCAGGGGAGGGACGCGACAGGGCTGGCGGGCAGATGCGGCGCCCGGGCTCTCTGAGGGAAAGATGGCCCCAGGCAGCCAGGCAGGGGGAGGCCAGAGTGGGCGGGACTGGCCGGGCCACTGGTGGCTCCCAGGAGGAATTATCGTCACCCTGGGGGGCAGGGAGGGTGGGGGGCCCAGCAGGGGGCCCGATCTGTCCCTGAGCTGCAGTAGGGTGCTGAGTGAGGTGAGGAGGGGCCTGGGCCTGCTGCACCCCGGCCCCTCCACCCTCTGCCTTGAGCCAGAGCCCTGATGTCCCCCGGGTCACCCAGACCTGCCCGCTGCACTGCAGCCTGGGGACAGTTCCACACGCTCGGCCAACCGAGCCCCAGGGTCCCTGGGTGGAGTGGCCTCTCCCGAGGCTGGAGAGACCCCCAAGACCAGGAGGTGCAGGGGTTGGAGAGGCCTGTGGCAGGCGTGGGACTGTGGCCCAGGCCTGCGTGGATCCCCTCACACCCTGCCACGGCAGCCTTGCCCTTGCCGGCCCTGGCCTCTGCGGCCTTGCCGCCTGGCACCGTGTGGGGCAGCTCACGCTTGTGAGGCCGCTGGTGCGTGGCTGCTTTGCGTGGGTGTCCGTGGCCCCGGGCTGGCTACCTCCGATGCAGTGGGGGTTCCAGGGCTGGGTTCTGGATGTCAGGGCGGGGCCGGTGCGTAACAGCCTCTCTCCCCCCTGTGACAGGAGGCAGGGCCCGCGGCAGCCAAGGCCTCCCGGTGAACAGAATCTTCGACGTGGACCTCGTTGCTGGTGCGGCACCCGGGGTGTGGCCAGGCCCCGGGAGGGCGAGGCCCGTGGGGGCCCCCGTGTCAGACCGCCCAGGCCAGAACCCCAGCCCTGGGGAGCCCAAGGCCAAGTCGAGCACCCACCATGCCACTTTCGTCTGATGCGGTCCTCCTGCCTGGCACACACCTCAGATGGATTCCGGTGGGCTTGTCTTGCCTCAGCTTTGCCGGCTGAGCCCCTGGGGCCTGGAGGGGACACGAGGGGGCCACAGCCTCGGGGGTCACAGACAGGATGAACAGGTGGACGAACAGGTGCCCTTGTCCTCTGCTAGCCCCGCACTGCCCCTGGGCACCCAGATGCCACTCAATAAAGTCTTCGAGGACACCTGTGTGGGCCTCATGCTGAGAGCTGGGATGCGGGCTGGTCACTCCAGGAGGGGGCCTTGGTCAGCCGTGCGCCTGGGCTCAGGGGCCTGCCAGGCCCGCCGGCCTCCCCCGGCACCGTCCTCATTCACAGGCCGCCCACGGCTCCTCTCCGGGGCCCTGGTGAGGCGGGTGGGCCAGGAGCTGTGCCCATGGGGCTGTGGACTCGGCATGGGAGTCCTGTGGCACGTGGGGACCCTCTGATCACCATGCTGTTGTCCCCCTGCCCTTGGCTTCATTTACAGGGTGGCCTGCCCAGCCTGGCTAGGCAAGAACCCGGTGGCACAGTAGGCCGGGGATGTGCGCTGGGCCTGGGCAGAGGCCTGGAGGCGCAGTGAGGCGGTTACTACTGGGAGCGGGAGCCCTGTGGAGGGCGCAGTGGGCCCAGTCACCGGGCACAGCCCAGCGCCAAGCAGCAGGGCCTGAGGCCAGCAAGGCTGCGGTGCTTCCACTCTGGGTGGGCAGGCATCAGGGAGACAGGAGCCCACTGTGTGCTAAACTCACACCAAATACCCACCGCCCCAGCACTGCAGTCCCCCAGCACCGCAGTCCCCCAGCACCGCGGTCCCCCAGCACCGCAGTCCCCCAGCACCGCAGTCCCCCAGCACCGCAGTCCCCCCAGCACCGCAGTCCCCCAGCACCGCAGTCCCCCAGCACCGCAGTCCCCCCAGCACCGCAGTCCCCCCAGCACCGCAGTCCCCCAGCACTGCAATCCCCCAGCACTGCAGTCCCCCAGCACCGCAGTCCCCCAGCACCGCAGCACCCCCACCACCTACTGTGCCTAGCTGGGTGCTCGCTCAGGGTCTGCTGTCCACACCTTTGCACAGAGGGAAGTGGAGATCCAGAGAGGGGTTTGGTTACCCAGTAGGATGACTTTGTGCCAAGCTGATGCCCAGCCAAGCTGGGGGCTGAGTCCTCTCCCGCTGTGCCCATGGGGCTGTGGACTCGGCATGGGAGTCCTGCAGCCCCCTGGGGTTCCCAGGGGTTCCTGAGACAGCTGTGTCCCAACCCCAAGTCAGGCACAGTGGGGGTTACTGCTGTCCGCGTCTCCAGTGGGTCATCCAGCCTGCAGCAATCGATGCCTACGGGTGGGGAGGGGAGAGAGAGGGCGGCTGGGGCCCAGGACACGCAGAGGGGGGCAGGGAACCGGGAGGCAGCAGAGGGTCCGTCCTGGCTGTTACGACAGCGCACAGCTGCCCTCGCTGTGCCCCGCACCCCACCTCACATCAGGGTCCCCCCTCTGAATGCATGGTGACAGGCTCACAGACAGACCCGCCAGGCCTGTGGCCAAGCAGGGATAGCGCTGAGCGGGGACCCAGGCCCCAGCTGTCTGTGTCGGCCTGGAAGATGCTCCCGGTGGGGGTCTGGGGTGGCGTCGGGTACAGGACCATTGCCTGGGCAGCAGGGACAAAGTGCGGGTGTCGAGCTGCTGGGTTAATCATTGCCCTGTGCCTGGCCTTGACCCTCCCTCCCTGGCTGCCCCGCCTCCAGCTCCCCACTGCCCTGGGAGCCCACGCCGGCTGGCCGGAGGAGCCATGGGGCGCTGGGCTCGGGTCCCTGGTCCCTGCCCCCCACTGGGGCTGTATCCCCTCCTGTTGCTTCTGCTGCTGCTGCCTTGGGAAGCCCAGCCCCAGGCTGGCGAGGTGAGACTGCTCCCCACTCAGTCTGCCCACATGGGCTCCTAGGCTGGGGCCAGCGGCAGGGCCTCTGGGACATGGTGGCAGGGATGAGAGTGGTGCTGGGCTGACCCGGCTGGGCCCCTCCTGGGGGTTGTGGGCCCGGATGTTTGAATAGCTAGGGGTCTTGTGGGACCCCAGCTGGTCCCACCTACCCCAGAACTGACCCAGGGTCCAGCCAGCCCTGAGCTTCAGGCGGAGGACAGGGCCTGCAGAGGCCCCGGGCATCCAGAGGCAGGGTCCCAGTACCACACCCAGGGTCTGAGAGTGCAGGCACCGTCCCAAGTGACCCCATCGCCACCCCTTCGGCACCTAGAACTACACGGAGCCCCCAGGACCTAATGCCACAGCTACCCGGGGAGCCCCTTTGATCCCTGTGACCTCGGTGACACCCAAGACCCCAACCAGGAGCCCTCCAGAGGCAGAGGTGGGAGCAGAGGGACCCCAAGGTGGGGAGCAGCCCAACCCAGGCATGGCGACTCCCTCAAACAGCGTCCCTGAGGGTCAAGGTGGGTCGGGGTTCGGGCACGTCGTGCACACACTGGTGAGCGGCTTGGGGGAGCATGGGTGGCCTTGGGGTTCCCAGCCCATGGGGGACAAGCTGGGGTGCACCGTGGGAATCAGGGAGCCTGACAGGGCAGGGTAGTGTGGGGGTCGGGGTGCCCGTGGAGGCTGGGGTGGGTTATGCGCAGAAGTCCCCGACCCTCCTCTGCTCTCCTCCGCAGTGCTCACGGAGGCTGGGCAGCCCTGCAGGTTCCCATTCCGCTATGGTGGCCGCATGCTGCACACCTGCACCCTGGAGGGTAGTGCCCACAGGAAGTGGTGGGTCGTGGGGGAGCCCTAGCAGGTGGACAGAGCGGCTGGAGCACTCTGGGGTCATGACCAGGCCCCCATCACCCCTGCATTGTCCCCAGGTGTGCGACAACTCACAACTACGACCGGGACAGGGCCTGGGGCTACTGTGTGGAGACTGCCCTGCCATCACAGGGCCCAGGTGGGTACAGGTGGGGCAGCCTGAGCCCTGAGATTGGAGGGGCAGGGTGGGGTCGCAGTGCTGAGTGGGTGGAGAGCACGGGAAGACAGTGCTGGCCTGGGGCAGGGGTCCCACCCGGAGTGGCAGAAAGGCCAATTCATCCTGCTGCTGGCCGCCGAGGGCCCTGTCCTCTCCTGGCCTCCTGGTGGCCACAGCCATTGGCGGGGCCACAGCGCCCTCTGGTGGTGCATCCCGGCCCCGCGGCCAGCAAGGCCTGCTTGAGACCGTGTGCGTGGGGCTGTAGCGCACATGTGAGGCAGCTTAGGGGTGGAGGTCCCCGAGGAGGCCCCTGGGAGCCCTGAAGACTCCTGCTCCCCTGTCCCTAGCTGCCCTGGACCCCTGTGCCTCTGGCCCCTGCCTCAATGGCGGCACCTGCTCTAGCACCCAGGACCCCACATCCTACCACTGCACCTGCTCCGCAGCCTTCACAGACAGGGACTGCGGCACGGGTGAGGGGCCTGGGGACCTTGAGGGTCACAGGAGGAGAGTGGGCGGGACCTGCGGGGCGGCGGGGTGCAGCGGTGGGGCTCACTGCGGGACTCCCAGCGAAGTGCTTCGACGAGGGCCGCCAAGAGTACCTGGAGCCGGGTGACCGCTGGGCCCGCGTGCACCAGGGCCGGGTGGAGCAGTGCGGCTGCGCAGGGGGCCAGGCGCGGTGCAGAGGCGCCCCTCACACAGGTACACATTGCCACGCCAGCCTGGGGGTGCGTGGGCAGCAGGGGATGCCTTGGCAGATCAGAGGGACCCCCGAGGCCCAGGCCTAGCTACTGAGCCTTCCCAGCATGCCTGAGCAGCCCGTGCCTGAATGGGGGCACCTGCCACCTCATCACGGGCACCGGGACCAGCGTCTGTGCCTGCCCACCGGGCTACGCCGGGCGGCTTTGCAATATCGGTGAGCTACACACAGGCCTGGCAGCTGGGGGCGTGCGAGGGCAGAGCCCCGCTAACCATGGCCTCACACCCACCCCACCACCGCAGTGCCCTCCGAGCGCTGCTTCGTGGGCAACGGCACCGAGTACCGCGGTGTGGCCAGCACGGCGGCCTCGGGCCTGGGCTGCTTGGCCTGGAACTCCGACCTGCTCTACCAGGAGCTGCACGTGGACTCGGTGGACGCCGCCGCCCTGCTGGGCCTGGGCCCCCACGCCTTCTGCCGGTCAGCACCTGCAGCTCTTGTGGGGCTGGGCGCCTCTGTGCAGAGCCGTGCAGAGGTCACCTGTGCTGTGCTCACACTCCTGTCCTCTCCTCGTCCCTCCAGGAACCCAGACAAGGACGAGCGGCCCTGGTGCTACGTGCTGAAGGACCACGCGCTCTCCTGGGAGTACTGCCGCCTGGCAGCCTGCGGTGGGGGCTCGGGACACAGCCCAGTGGGGTGGGGGGCACTGGTGGTGCCTTGGGGTTGGGCCAGGGCAGGCAGCCCCCCACATCCTGCCCAGGGACCCCAAGGCCCTCCACTGGTCTCAGACCGGCCCTACGTACCGGCCACCCTGGCCTCACAGAGCCTCAAGTCAGTGTTCTGCTCTCCCAGCCACAGAAAGGAAATTCAGGCTGGACATGGGCCAGAGAGGCCAGTGGGACCAGACGGAGCCCCACCCTGTGGGCCGGGCAGTGACCCGGTGACCTCTGCCCCCAGAATCCCTGTCTAGATTCCATCCGCCACCCCCTGAGGTCCTGGCCATGCTGCCCGAGGCGGCTCCAGCCCCGCGCCCAACCTGTGGTCGGAGGCACAAGAAAAGGACATTCCTGCGGCCACGCATCGTCGGCGGCTCGTCCTCGCTGCCCGGCTCCCACCCTTGGCTGGCTGCCATCTACATCGGGGACAGCTTCTGCGCCGGGAGCCTCATCCACACCTGCTGGGTGGTGTCCGCTGCCCACTGCTTCTCCAGCAGGTGAACACGCAGCCTGAGCCCAGCCCGGGCGGCCGCCCAGCCTACATCCTGCCACTCACCCCGCTCCGCCATCACGGTGGCCCGGCCTCCGTCACTCTGGGTCGCATCGCGCACTTCCCTTACTCCCTTGACCACATGGGGCTCCCGGGGTCCAGGCGGGCGGGGGTGCTACCTGGGCCAGTGGTCCACCCCAGCCAGAGCCTCGGTACTTGGTGACAGCATGTGTGGGGGCCCCCACCCGTCAGGGCACAGCCAGAGAAATGGGTGCAGCCCGCTCAGTAGGCTCCTAGTCTTTGAGGTTGAGGCCCCCACATCCTGCCCAGAGGCCAGAACCCCGAGGCTCAGACCAGCTGGGTAAGCTGCTCGCCAGCCCCATGCTGTGGTGGGCGAGGGCTCTAGCCAGGAGGGACGGCCCGGAAGCTGCTCCCCATTCTCTGTCCCCTGCTCCCGCTCTGTCCCGCTGGGCTCAGGCCCTGTCCTGCAGAGTAAAACTGCGGCGTCGATGGGGGCAGAGGGGCAGCTGGGGGCCGGCTCTGTGCCCTGCAGCAGTGGGGGCGGCCACGGCTGGCTTGGGGAGGGCTGGCCAGGGGCCCGAGGGGGGCGCTGGGTCCCTGTGCTCCCGCCAGCCCTGCCGTGCAGCCCCCCCAGAGGCAGCGTCTCAGTGGTGCTGGGCCAGCACATCTTCAACCGCACAACGGATGTGACGCAGACATTCGCCATCGAGAAATACATCCCCTACCCGCTGTACTCGGTGTTCAACCCCAGCGACCACGACCTGGGTGAGCTGGGGCTCCACGAGGGACAAGGGGTCCAGGGCGGCAGCCAGGACACCCCACATGGGGGGATCCGTCCTGGCCGTGCAGTCCAGTCTGACCTGACCTCGCCCCAGTCCTGATCCGGCTGAGGAAGAAGGGCGACCGCTGTGCCGTGCGCTCCCAGTTTGTGCAGCCCATCTGCCTGCCCGAGCCCGGCAGCTCCTTCCCCGCGGGGCACAAGTGCCAGATCTCAGGCTGGGGCCACATGGACGAGCGTGAGCGGGGGCCAACCTGGGTGGGGGGCGGAGCCCCTCCCCGGGGCTCCCCGGCCTGAGAGAGCCCTGTCCCCCAGAGGTGAGCGGCTACGCCAGCTCCCTGCGGGAGGCGCTGGTCCCCATTGTGGCTGACCACAAGTGCAGTAGCCCAGAGGTGTACGGTGCCGACATCAGCCCCAACATGCTCTGCGCCGGCTACTTCGACTGCAAGTCCGACGCCTGCCAGGTGGGAGGCCAGGCGTGCCACGCCAGGAGGCGTGCGGGTGTCTCCAGCGCCCAGATGGGGAGACTGAGGCCAAGAGATAGGCACAGAGAGGTCACACAGATAAAGCCCGTGTCCCGCCTCCAGTAAGAGCCACACGGCAGCTGGCCTGGAAGGCCACACCTCTGGGCCTGGATTCCTCTCAGTCAGTCAGTCGCTCAGTCCATTGATTAGTCAATGCCAGGGCTGCACACCACACAGCAACACAGAAGGGCCGCTTTATGCCTCACTTTATGGGGGGGGGAACTGAGTCCCAGAGAGGTCAGGTCTCTCTTCCAAGATGGCACAGCTCTGATGGGGTCAGTGGGTGGGGCCTGGCTGCACCCTGTGTGCTTGGGCAGGAAGGGGTGGCATGGAGGGGGTGCGTACCTGGGTCTGAGAGAGGCCGGGCTGTTCAGCAGCCAGGAGGGTGAGGCAAGAAGCGGCCCAGCCTGTGCTGGGGCGCAGTGTGGCGATGTGGCCCCTGGGGGTCACACGAGCGGCTGCAGAGGGTCCAAGCTGAGGAGCGTGCTTGGCCATGGGGTGAGAGCCAGCTGGGGTGCAGGCGGAGAGCAGGGTCAGAGGTGCTGGACACTCGCTGTCAGTGAAACACTGTCTCGTGCTGTCCGAAAATCATCCCTGAGAGTCCCCTGTCCCAGTGCCCGGAGCACAGCCGGGCTGGGGAAAGCTGGCCCTGAGCCCTGTCTCTGCCCCAGGGGGACTCAGGCGGGCCCCTGGCCTGCGAGAAGAACGGGGTGGCCTACCTGTACGGCATCATCAGCTGGGGCGACGGCTGCGGGCGGCTCAACAAGCCGGGCGTCTACACCCGCGTGGCCAACTACGTGGACTGGATCAGCGACCGGATACGGCCCGCCAAGCGGCCCCTGCCCCCCTCGTAGGCGCTGGGCAGGGGTGTCCTGCCCTCTCACAATTGCTTGCCTTGAGGACAATAAAGACGGTCGGAGACCCGACCATGCTGTTGTGTCCTGCCTGAGCTCCTCCGTTAGATGGAGGCCTGTGGCCCCGCAAAGCTTCCAGCCCCAAGGCCCAGGGCTCAGGCAGCGGACGGAGGCCAGGCACCTCCAGGGCCACCCAGGCAGGTAGCGGCGGGGTCCACCTCCCGGGATGTCCCAGGGCAGAACAGAAGCCCAGTCTGGCCCCCGGCCAGGCCGTGTGGGAAGTATCAACCCTGGAAGAGGGCAGGCCGTCCGGGCTCCGCTCTGGGCCGCTTGGCTTTACGCTGGCAGCCTGACTCTGTGGGGCTCCTCGGAGGGGCCTGGGGCTACGCCGAGCACTGTGACAGCGGTGGGTCCCGCTGTGCTGAGCCCGGGCCAGGCCGCACCCGGTTGGCACGGGGGAGGCAGGTGTGGAGGATGGACCAGCCATCGCCCCGACCGTGGGAGGAGCTGGGTCCGCTGCAGTCCCCAGATCCCGGCGTGGAGAGCCGGCCGGGGTCCCCGCTGTGACGAGGACTGGGCACCGTCAGCGGCAGCAGGCAGTCCCCACGGTGCCCAGCACTGCAAACCTTCGGAGCTGCAGGGCAGGAAGAGGAGGTGGGGAGCCGATGGCACCGAGCTCAGGTCCTGACCTGGACAGGCGCCTCCACTCTCCCTGCCCAGCCTCGCCTGCCAGGGCCCACGGGGGTGACATCCACGTGCCGCCCCCGGCTGCTTGGAGCCGTGGATAGCACCTCCACCCGTGTCCCAGCCTGGCCCCTCTGCTCCGCACAACGCCACCCAGGAGCTGGTCCAGTGCCCCCATGCCCAGGTGATGGGGGCTCCTCCTCCAGGTGATGGGGACCTGTCGCTGCTCCACGGGCTTCCCTGCAAGCCCCTCTCTGCCAGGTGCGCAGGCACAGGGTGGAACGGGGTGCTGGGCCCACACCTCACCCCTGGGCCTCTTTGGGCCGAGGTGCTCAGAGCCGGCTCGCGTGGATGGGTAGGACAGCTGCCGTCTCAGGAATGCAGCGCCTTCTCAGTGTCGTCCGCTGACCCGTGGAGTGACCACAGCTTTCCTAGACGCCTTTCCCAGTAGGAGGGGTCCATGATCTCTTCCTGTGTCTGAACGGCTGCTGTCAGCCGGTCCCTGCTTTCATCCCAGCTCCCTGGGGCCTGCGCAAGACATGGAGAGCGCGGGTTTTCAGAAGTTTGGTTGAACTCCCTGGTGGGTCACCCGGCCTGGTGTCTTCTTTACAGAAAGACCCTGGGCACTCATGTGGGGTCTTAGATGGTTGCAGGATGGGTTGGGGACTTTATTTCTTGAATCACCCACATGAAGTTATACTTTTATGAATTTGTGAAAAATTTCCTATTTATTGGAACAATGTTGTTTATGGTTATCTTAGTTCACTTTGTTACTATAACAAGTTTTCTGAGGTCAGATAATTTATAAGAAATAGAGGTTACAGCTGTTAGTTATGGTCTGTCAACCTGACTGGACTGAAAACCCTGTGGGGGCTCATGGAGGTGTGGCTGTGGGGTCTGTGTGTGGTCCCCAGCCCTGCCTGTCTGGCGCTGTTCCCCCGCTCTGTTCTCTGGTCCCTGTGACTCAAACATTTTGCTCCTTCTGCCGTGAGGCCTTGCCTTGCAGCAGCTGACCATGGACTGAACCTCTGAAACCGTGACCTAAATGACACCCCCTCTTCTTTAAACTGAGGGAGTTGGGTCCTGTGTCCCAGCGACAGGACCGTGGCTGACACAGAGATTTGTGCAGCTCATGGGTCTGGGCATCTGGTGAGACCTCGCACAGCTTTGCTACCCGGTGCAAGGCCCCCACGGGAGACAAGGCCAGCTGTCCACTGGAGTCTCTCCTCTCCTTTTAAAGATAGCAGTGCCACCCTGGGGGCCCTCATGGCCTCTGCGGAACCCCACTACCTCCCAGAGGCTCACCTCCAGATACATTAACTTACAAATTCCTGACTCGTGATGCTTGGGTGACACGTCCGTCTATGGCTGTGGCTTTCGGTCACACTTGTGACCTGAGACAGACCAGCTTGCAGCGAGGAGAAGGTGATGTGGGCTCGTGCTTTTGGAGGTCTCAGCCCGTGGTCGGTTGACTGCTTTGGGTCTGACGTTGAGGCAGAAGTGGGAGGAGGGGCTGCATGGCCAGGAAGTGAGAGAGAGACAGTACTCTGGGAAGCTGAGGCAGGAAGGTGGCAAGTTCTAGCCCAGGCTGGCCAATTTAATGAATGAATGGGAATTTGTTTCAAAATTAAAAGATTGAAAGGTCTGGGGATGTGTCTGAGTTCAATCCCCAGTACTGCAGAGAGAGACAGGGGAGTGGGGATGGCCGAAGTCCTGCTGTCCCTTGAAGCCACACACCAAGGACCTAGGGGCCTCCTAAAGGCTCCCTCCCCCAGTAGCCCAAGGACTGACTGAGCTTCAGCACGCTCCGCTCCGCGTCCAAACTGTGGCCGTGGCCACAGTGGGATATCACAAAGGCGACAGAAACGTGCTGTCCCCTAGTGCAGGAGGCTGGGCATCCGTGACCACGGCGTGGCCACCACCTCTGTCCTCTTGCGGGAGCCCTCCTTGCTGGGTGCACAGAGAGTGCAAGCTCTGCCGTGTCTGTCCTCTGCTGAGGGCACTCGTGCTGTCAGATGGGGCCGCACCTGACCCACGCACTCACCGTCACCTCCTCGAGGTCACAGTCACACTGCGGGCACCGCTGAGCCCCAGCTCCTTGGCCCGCCCTGTGACTGGTGGAAATTGTTTGGAGGGGGACCCGGTGGCCGGGCCTATGCGTGGTGGCCATCACTTCCATCCTTTTTTTTGGTAGCAGGAATTGAGCTCAGGACCTTGCGCTTGCCAGGCAAGCACTTGTGCCCCTGAGCTGTATCCCTGGCCCATCACTTCCATCCTAACCAAGGGGATATGGGAACATGAATGGGCCATGGGCAGCCAGAGGGTGTTTCTGTCCAGCTCACTGAGCCATGTGCTGGTGCCAGGCCGGGCAGCCCACCTGGTCGGGTCTTCCCCGGGTGTGTAAAACTAGTTGTTTTGAAAGAGCCGGGCACGGTGCCACACACTTATCATCCCAGCACTCAGGAGGCTGTGACAGGAGGATCGCTATGTAGTCCAGGCCAACCTGCACTGCATAGTGAGACCATGTCTCAAAAAACCAAATATTAGCGAGACTCTCACCCATTAACTCACTTGGAGCTCATGGTAGCAATGTCAGGCTGGAGGAGGAAGCCGAGAAAAGCCCCCTGACAATGACAGTGCAGTGCTGTCTGGCAGAGGTCTCTAGCTGTGGAGCCGAGGCCAAGGCAGTGTCCTGTGACTGCCGGCCGCCCAGGCCACAGTGTCGAGTGGCAGTACCGTACTGTGAGCTCAGGCAGTGCACGTGTGATCCGGGCCGCAGTGTGGTGTCCAGTGTCCAGTGCTGCAGGCCGGGTCATCCTGTCTCAGGAGTGACTGTCCCCGCAGGGCCCCAGCTTCCCAGCTGTCTGTTGGTTCCTTGAGAGGCCAACCTCCTTCCAGTCCACTCACTCCTGCTTCCGGGGTGCAGCGTTGCGCCACTGACAACCTGGACACCTGGGGAAACTGAGGCACTAGTAGGCGCAGGAGACGGTCCAGTGTCACAGGGGAGCCAGCCCCTCTCTTCCTCCTCGGAGGTCGTGTCCCTGCCATGCGCAGTCCTGGCGGCTGCAGAGGGTCTGGCCACGGGGCCGGGGGAGGGGACCGCCTGTTCCCACAGTGGGCCAGAGCAGGAGCAGGTGCAGCGCTGGGTGTGGCGAGGCCTGGGCCAGCACCAGCGCCCGGGAATGCTCGGGGCCCTGCCCCTCCCTGTGGGGACCAGCAAGTGCCAGGCGCCCGGGGCAGCGGAAGTGTCCGTGGTGACAGCCCCCCACACCACCCACTCCGGGCGGCTGTCCTGGTTCTGAGGTAGCACCGCCAGGGCGCTGGGGACAGGCACCCCGTGTGGGATGGTTGGCAGCACGCAGGCGTCCTCCTGTGCCCGCTGTTCTCTGCCCCGCCCAGGGACATCAGAATCAACTCTGGCCACTCGGGGGTGGGGAGGGGCACCAGAGCTGGCCCGCTCAGGTGTGAGCAGCTGGGGGCAGCCCTGGCTCGCGTCCACACCGCTCTGGGCCTCAGCTTCTGCTCTGCAGGGAGCACATGGAGCTCTGAGGTCTGACAAGAGGGAGGAAGCCTGGAATGCCTGCCCGTCGGTAGGTATGGTTGACCCTCAGCACTCCCCACCCGAACCACTGGCGCTGAGGAGGGCCGAGCTGCGCGTGGACGGGGAACTGTCTGTCCTGGGGCCCGCTGCCTCCACCTCCAGCCCTCAGGTGCTCCAAGTCCTGGGTCCTGAAGAGTTCTTCAGGTGCGGGGCACCTGTGGTGTAGCCCTGTCAGGCCCCTAGAGCACTTGGGCTGCAGAAGAAGCCCAGGTAAATGGGCCGGGACGGGACAGGCAGGTCCTCCGTGCACCCTGTGGCCCCACCCTGCCCGGGCAGTAGCTCTTCTGGGCAATGGAGGAGGCCCGGGACCGTGGTGTGTCCTGGGCTGGGCCTGCCTGTGGTCACACTGCCCCCCACCCAGTGGCGTAGGGGAGGGGCAGGCACCAGAGGGTGAGCCCAGGGCAGGTGAGGACAGCACAGACTTGGATTCTGTCCTCGTGCAAGCCAATGTCGCTTTTGTGGGGTTTCTTTGCATTTGTAAGGAAGGCCGGCCCCGCCCCCCCACCCCCACAAGGTCTGAGATGCCTGAGCTCCAGACTATGCTAGCCTCAGGTGGCCTCAGGCGGCCACACCGCAGGGGGTGCCAGGCATGGACAGTGGGGACGGAGGGCAGGTGCAGGGGGGCAGCCGCCTCCTTGCCGGTTCCACCTGGACGGCCGGGCATGGAGACCCCGCCCCTTCCTGCCACTGCGGCCAGGTCCCTAGTCCCGCCCGCTGCTTTGGCCCGCCCTCCTGGCCCAGCCCAGGGCCCTCCCAGCTATTTTGAAAGTGACCCTGGGCTCAGGCGCCTGGGGCGCTGGGAGAGGTCGCGGTGGCGGCGGGCGCAGTGGGAACCATGACAGAAGATGACCGAGGCGGCGCTGGTGGAGGGCCAGGTCAAGCTGCGGGACGGCAAGAAGGTCGGGGAGCGGCAGGGGCGCGGGGCGGGGGCGCGCGGGGCGGCTGCTCACGCTGTCTTGTCCCTGCAGTGGAAGAGTAGGTGGCTCGTGCTGCGCAAGCGGTCGCCGGTGGCAGGTGAGTGCCGGGCAGGCGGTGGGGCGGCGTGGGTGTGGGTGGCCGGGTCCCCATCCGGCTCCTCCGATGCCGCCGGGGCGCCAGCTTGCCTGAAATAGCCCCGTGGCGGAGCCCTGAAACCCGGCCCGGCCGTAACCGGAGAGCCAGAGCGCCTCCAGCCCGGTGCTGGGACAGGGACGCTGTTCCGCCGGGAGCTGCAGGCGGCCAGGAGGGTGCCCGCTCCACAGAGCCTGGAGCCGGCAGCTGCCCCATCCAGAAGAGGGGCTGGTGGGGGGCCGGTGGGGGGCCAGGCTCAGAGCCTCCCACGGTGTGACAAGGGAACTCCAGAAAGCCGCTGTCCTTTTGGGGGCCACGTTGTGCTGGTGCCCAGCTTGGCACAGGAGCCCGCGCTGCCTGGGGTGCCGGGGCCGGGCTGGGCCGCCAGGTGGGCAGGGTCCCACCAGTGCATCCCAGGGAAGTGACGCCGCCCTTGCTAGGGGCGCAGGCCTCCAGGGAGAGTGCAGAGTAACCCGCAGCTCTGGCTCGCAGCCAGCGCCTCCAGGGTGGAAGTCAGTGCGGAGCCCGCGGCTGCCGGGAGCCGATAGAGGCAGAGCCGAAAGCTGCAGCTGTTTCGGGGGACAGGTGCCTCAGAGCCACCCCGGGTCTGCAGGGGACGCTGGGCAGGGTGCATGCAGGCGCCGGGCGTCTGTCCACTCCCGGGGAGGGGGCAGCTGCTTTTGTGGACAGAATCACTTCCTGCCTAGGACTTGGCCCCGTACTAGGAGCCCCACACCTCCTCGGTCCTCATGCCAGGCCCCGTGCCGCCCGGAGTGTGGGGTCCCTGTCCTCAGAGGCACCAGGCTGTCTGGTGGGTGGGACTGGGCCGGCACCGTCTGGCTGGGGGGGCACCGAGGCCGGCACAGGGCTGGGCGTGACTCACGCCCTGTGGGTCTGGGGACGAGTCCCGCTCCGGGGGGTGGCGGACTCAGAGGAACTCAGCTTGTTCAGTGGCACAGGGGTCAGTGTCTCTGTGGAACCCTATAGAGGCCAGGGGGCCAGGGAGGTCACCATGGACAGATGTCCACCCAGAAGAGCGTCCTTGCCTGGATCAGAGGCAGCGTCCTGGGGGCAGGGCTGGGGACACGAGCAGGCGCTGGCTGTCGGGAAGCTGCTGAGGGCCCCTGCCTCTGAGGCATATCTGGGGTTCTCACGGTGGGGAGCAGAGGCCCTTGCAGTGGACAGCCAGTGAGCTAGGGGGTGGGCTGACCCCGGGTTAGGCTTGGGTGGGGTTGGGACAGGTGGGCAGTGATGGTGTGGATGTCCCTGGAGTCCTGCCCACTGTCCCACTACCCTGGAGCTGAGCTCTCAGTCACCGCTGCTGGGCTGGAGTCTAGGACGGTCCCTTGGAACCCCACATTCCCCTGGGAGCCCAACCTTTAGCTCCCCAAGACTCCCAGGTCCCGGTGTGTGGGGATGAAGGGCGCAGCCTGCTCTCCTGTCGTGCGAAATCCATGGCCCCATTAAAGGTCAGCATAGAACTGGTCGGTGGGGAGCAAGTTGGCTCCTCGGGGGGCACTTCCTGCTGTGCTTTGCCCAGGTGGCACCTGCTCTTGGGGTGAAGCTTGGTTGGCAGAGAACGCAAAGCTGGGCCACACACAGAGGGCTGGGGTTGCAGGGGGACAAATGCTGCTGGGCCCTGGGTTGTGCGGTGTTCTGTGTGGGGCAAGGTTTCGGGGTGCTGGTCCTCAGCACTGTGCTCTGAGGCCTCTCCCTGTCCTGGCTGGAGTCCACGTCTGGCCCTTCCCCCTCGGCGGCCCTGGGCGTGGGGCGGTCCGTGTCCCATGCTGGTTGGGGTGTACTGAGGCCAGTGCCTCTGTCTTATTCCCCTGGTGGGAGGCTCTGCCTGGGAAGCACCCTGGCGTCCTGCTGGGGTGCAGCCACAGTTTTTCCTGGTGTGTGCATCTTGGAGAGGCTGTTCCCCGCTCTCCTAAGGACTGCCCTGAGCATGGCACAGAAGCCACCGCAGGGATGAGCACCCAGGGCTGGCAGGGCCTTGGAGTGGTCCTAGACAGTGAACCCTCGAGGAGCTGGCCCAGACAGGCCAGGACCGGCGATCTTCACTCCGTCTCTTGGGTCCCAGCCTTTTGCCACCCCTCGGAGACACACCAGGAGCCTGGCCTGGTCACAGTGACAGCAAAGGCCTGGGGTCCACAGCCAGCGCAGGAGGGGCTCCAGGCCTGAGTACCGGGGCCCCCGGGGTGTCTGCAGCAGCCTGTGCCCCCACGACGCAACCTTTCGCCAGGGGTGGGCCCTGCTAAGACAGCAGGCTCCCCAGGAGGGTGTGGGTCTCGGGGCAGTGCCCAGGTCCCCTCGGCAGCTGGCATGGCTTTGGGCCATCTGCACCTCTGCTGCCGCCTCCTTGGTGGGATAGGGTGGCACCTTTGTCCCCGCTGAGCGCAGGCTGGGGTGGTGGCTGGGTCTTCTCTCCCCACAGGGACACCGCAGGATAGGGCGTGGCCCCGAGGGCCAGGGAACCTGAGCGCTGAGTGACAGTCACATCCTCCCGGGAGCTCTCGGGCAGGGCACAGTTGGTCCCTGCACGGACACTACCAGGGCTTTGGGGTGGCTGAGCAGGCAGCATGAGCCTTGCTACTGTGTGTCCGTGTTCTGGGGTGGCCCGGGCATGACCTGTGCCAGGCAGCAGCGCCATGAGCAGTGCTTCCTCCCTGCGTCAGTCACGGGAGTGGGAGGGCGGGCCCAGCACGGGCCCTTCCCGCAGCCCCGGGTGTCCAGCCCTTCCCGGCCGCTCAGGGCTCAGCAGGGTCCCCTCGGGCTCTGGCCCGCGCTCTTCCGGGGTGCTGCCTCAAGGCCACCCTGACCTCCAGGGGCCCAGCCTCCCATGCTGCTGGGTGGTGTGGCTGCTCCTCCTCCCCGGCCTCCAGGCCCTTCTCGTCGTCCATCTGTCCTCCCTCCTCCCTGGCCGCCGTCAGCCCTGGCTCTGACGGCATCTGGAGATCATGACTCCGTGGTTATTTTTACATCCCAGACGCCGGTCCAGCTGCCTGCTCGTGGCCCAGCTCTGCGTCCCCGGGCTGTACCACCTCTCGCCCCGGCCCAGCCCGGCCCATCCGACCCACGCACCTCACACTTCAGGGCCCTCGTCCCCACCCGGCTTGCCTCTCCTGGCTGCCGAGGGCCGCCCAGGCCCCTGTGCTGCCTCTGCCCCTTGTTCCGCCCAGCCCGCGTCTGCTCTTCCTGCTGCACAATGTGGGTGCCTCTGCCCATCCACACCGCAGCCAGGGTGGGTGTGGAGACAGCCAGGCCTGCCCCCAGGCTCCTTAGCCCACTCGAGCCCTGCCCAGGGCCTCTGCACTGGCCCTGCCCCCGACAGTGACAGTGTGTCCCTGGGGCTGCTGCAATGGCCCCTCCTGAAAACACCCCCAGCCCACACCCAGGTGGTCCCTGCTCTGCCGCCGGGCCACCTGTTTCTGGCCCCTGAGTGGTGCTTTGCTGACAGTCATCTTGGTGTCCCACACTTCTGGGAGTGCCGCAGCATTCTGAGATGAGCAGGGCTGGGCACCGGGACGGAGGTGGGGAGAGGCGGGCAGAGCCTCAGGGTCCTCACTGCCTCCAGGGCTGACCGGCCCTGGCCCTGGCTCCTTGCCTTCACACGCCCTGTGCTGCTGGCCTCCCTGGAGGGTGGGATGGTGGGTCCTACACTGGATACCTGAGTCTGCTAGGGTGGCACTGGACAGCTGGCCTGGTGGCCACTCCCAACCTGCATGGCCGCTGCTGCTCACCCAGGCTCGCTGTCATGGCACATGCTGGGCTCTCAGGCGGCCTCTGCCCCTGCCAGGTGCTCCTGCTTCTTGGGGAGTGGTGCACGTGGCCAGGGGCAGCAGAGGAGGGGCTGGGCCCGGCTGCACCCTCACTGGGTGCCCGTGGGTGCGGGGTGAGAGTGCATGTGCACATACATGTGTATGCCAGACTGCATGTGTATGCATGCACACATGTGTGAGCAGTTGTATGTGAGTGAGCATGTGTACAGGTCAGGTGTGCTTTACCAGCTGGCCCTGTGTCCTCACAGGGCAAGGCCAGCAGCTCTCTGGGGCCCCTCATTAAGATGCTAATGCCCCAGCATCCCCCGTACCCCTGTCACGGCCCAAGGCCCCCTGCTGACACATCCCCTCAGGGTCAGGGTCCTGGTGCCAGACCCCCACTTTTCGTGGGGTGTGCCTGGGCATGCACACGCTGGTGCAGATGTGTGTGAGTGGGAGGGAGGGCTGTCTCCCAGGGCTGTTGCAGGAGTCAGGCAGTGACACCGGCCCAGAGGTCCGGGAGGCAGAAGTCTGCAGTCCAGGCATGGGCGGGGATCTGTGTGGGACCCTCCTGCTTCCCAGCTCCGGTGGCTCCAGGTGTCCTTGGCTTGTGGCCTTGTCGCTCCAGTCCCTGGCTCCTAGCACACCTGTCCTCCTCGTGTCTCCCTCCTCTTCTGCCTCTCACAAGGACACCGTCAAACTTCTTTCCAGGGACAGATGGCTGCCTTAGGGGCAGCCTGGCTGGCCTGGCTTGGTGGGATGTGGTCGTCTTTATTCAAAAGGTCACACTCCATCCTGTGACCCCAGCACTCTGGGATGCTGAGTCGGGAGGATCCCAAGTTCAAGCCTATGGGGGCGAAAGTCTGAGGTCAAGGTGTGACCTCAGGACTGCTGAAGCCCGGCTCACCTTGAGCCTCTCAGCTTGACGCTGCCTTTCCCCAAATGCCACACGCACACTCAGGGTTAGGAGGGGACATAGTTTGAGGCCACTGCTGAGACCCTGTGGGTGGAGTCTGCACTTGTAGGCAAAGTTCAGAGAGATCAGCCAGGTGACATCGGGGTGTCAAGAGAGGGTCTTGGGGACAAGTACAGGGCCTTGCATGCAGCTCCCCCCCCCCAAATAGGCTTGCAGCACACAGACCGATGACCGGCCTGGCGGCCCATGGTGCAACACCCACGTGCAGGAGTCAGCAAACTGGTGTCAGGCCCAAGTCCAGCCACCTCCTGCCTCTGTGAGTAAGGATTGTAGGAAGCAGGCGTGGCCGATCCCACGCGCCGCCCAGGGCTCTTCTGGAGTTGAGCCGTGGTGCTGGAGGCTGTGAGCCGTCAGCCGACATCCCTTCCAGTGTGGAGCGAACAGGAAAGCTTGCCCACTCCTCTCGCCACCGTGTGCGGCGGGGCAGCTTCTCTTGCAGGAGCGGGGATTGAACCCAGGGCCCTGGACATGCTGGGCAAGGGCTCTACGCTGAGCTACATCCCCAGCCCTTTCTATTGTTATTCTGACAGTGTCTCGCCAAGTTGCCCAAGCTGGCAAGCCTTGAATTTACAATGCCTCTGCCTCAGCCTTGCAGCGTGCTGGGATCGCAGCATGGAAGGCGACTCCTGGAATACAGGAGGCCACCCCGCCCATGCCAGGCCGGCCAGGCTGCCCCTCCAGGAGCCGTCTGTTCCTGGACAGAGGTCTGCCCCTCCTCCAGGCTATGTTTTCCAGCCGGGGCGGTCTCTGAAGTGGGTGGCCCTCAGGAGCTCAGGCAAACGGGCAGCCTAGACGCCGCCCTGAGGGACACCGCAGTGTCCAGGTGAGCCCTGCAGGAGGCAGGGGCACAGGCAGCGGGGCCTTGGCCTGAGCGGGCAGTGTGGATGTCTGGTCCAGGGCAGTGGCCTGTGTGGGGGGCCAGCAGGGACAGCACAGGGGCTGCAGGAGGAGAGGGGCAGAGGGAGTCTTTGGATGGTCCCGGAGGGGCAGCTCTCACGTGCAAATCCTCTGTTGCTCTTGGGTTGGAGGGGGCTGCCGTGCCCACGTGTGGGCAGCAACGATGGTGCCCAGGGCTGTACTGCAGGCCTCAGGAGGCAGCTGTGGAAGCTGGTCATTGGTGGAAGTGCCACCACCATGGGGCAGGTCTCGGGGACAGAGCGGCCCCTGCCTGGGGCAGGGCAGCAAAAGGAGGCCAGTTGCTTGGCCACACTGGCGGCATTAGCCTGGTTCCTTGGTGCATGGTGACCAGACCCGCCTGAAGCTGACCAGGCTCTGATGCCCCTCAGGCACAGGTGGCCAAGGAAAAGAAGAGAAATAAAATTGGGCTGAGGATTTAGCTCAGCGGCACAAACGCCTGCCTGGCACGCGTGAGGTCCTGAGTTCAATTCCCCGTACAAAAAAAGAGAAAGAAGCAGACGGCCAAGGACTGGGGTAGGTCAGGGCAGCCCGCCGTGCTCACGCCCACTGCTGCCCCGCGGCTTCCGTTGCCCAGGCAATGCCCTTTCCGTGCCACGTTGTCCCTCGGGTTTGGTTTCTCGGTGCTCCGGGCATGGTGGAGGACATTCCTGTAAGGACACTTGCCTTATTAGACTACTTCTCCCCAGCCCAGGCTTCACCCACTGCCTGGCTTCTCCGTGCTGCAGCCCCTTCTGGACGCCCTCGGGACAGACCTGGCACAGCGCCGGTGGGCCGATAGGTCTCTGCGGGTCCTGGTTCTTTCCTCCTTCTCCCTGAGAGTGCCTTTGCGCTTTGTGGTCAAAAACCTTCAGACCCGGGACAGAGTTTCAGATAGAAGCAAAACCCTGCTGCCCCGCCGGCCCCGTTTTTGTCAGTAGTCTCCTGGCACACGGCCGTGCCTGCTGCCTCCCTGCTGTCTGTGGCTGCTCTCGGGCAATACAGAGATGTCCTCCGGCCCTGGATGCCTGTGACCTGGCCTCTGGCCACGCTGAGCCTGGCTCGGCTGCGACTGGACTGGGATTGAGGGGCAGGGCTGGGAAGGGGGCGGGTGTGCGACTCTGCGCTGGATTCTGTAGCAGAATTGATGTGTGCATTGCGGTCACCTGGATTCTGATCTCTGTGGGTTTGCCAGGCCCGTGAAGAGAGGTGCCGTCTGCTTTTCAAAGGCCTGGCGAGAGCACGCCCCACCGCCCCTCCTCACTCTGCCCTGAGCACTGCCTGGGCTCCTGGGCCTGAGTGTCTTGCAGGACTGTCCTGCAAACGCCTGTGGATGGGGTTTGCCTTAGGCCCTTGCACCTTCAGCAAAGGTGGGGTGTCCTGGGGTCCCTGGCTGCTGGTTTAGAGGAGCCCTATGTACTGAGGCTGGTCCTGTACGGAGCAGTGGTGGGCAGGGTCTCGGTGGCAGTGTCCTCTGTGGCCTCCTGGGGCAGGACCTGTACCTAGGGCCACACAGGGGCAGCTGTGCTGAGTGGGGTGAGCTTCATCCGGGCCTTGGTGGACAGCGACTGTGCTGGTGGCCTGCAGTTCGGACAGTGGTGGGTCAGGTCAGAGGGTGGGGTCAGGAGGCCCGGCGACGCCCCACTGCCCCCAGGGGTGGGGTCCAGGCCACACCCTGGAAACCAAGCACGGGGAGAAGCAGTCTGGGTGGGGAGGCACGGGAAGCCGTTAGGGGTGGGGGCTGTGTCAGCTCCACAGCCCGGTGCTTAGCCAAGGTGGGCACCAGGACCGGGGCCTCGGGGACGTCTCGGGGGTCCTGGGCCTTGCCATGGGGGCACGAGGCTCGCGAGGCCCACACCTGCCCCGGGCCCAGTGCGGGGTGCTCGGTGGCCCCTGATAACCCCGCCTCTCCTGTCAAAACAGACTGCCTGCTGATGCTGGTCTACAAGGACCGGGCTGAGCGCACCAGGGGCCTCCGGGAGCGCAGCAGCCTGACCCTGGCAGACATCTGCGGCCTGGAGCCCAACCTGCCCTACGAGGGCCTGGCCCACACACTGGCCATCGTCTGCCTGTCCCAGGCTGTCATGCTGGGCTTTGACAGCCGCGAGGCCATGAGCGCCTGGGACGCCCGCATCCGCTATGCGCTTGGTGAGGGTGAGTGACAACCGGGGGCGGAGTTGGTGGTGTCCAAGACGTGATGCCCGCTCCCCTCCCGACACAGGGACAAGAGCCCTGCAGGCCCCTGGTCCAGCGGACGCCCTGCTCTCCAGAGGTTCACCAGCCGGGATTCTAGCCTGGACTGGCCCTGTGGCGCCCCCTTTTCTTTGTGCAGTGGGCAGGGTTTGCCACAGGGGCGGGGCTGCCGACGACATATACAGACATCCCGAGTGACCCAGCACGGCCTGCAGGGCTCAGGTGCATGGGGTGGGGGTGGCGTTAGACCTAGACACCTCTGGCTCCAGGATGGGGTTGAAGGGGTGCAGGTGGCCCACAGGTGGGTGCCTCAGGCTGGGGGCACCGTCTCTTCCTGAGCTGGGGTGTCTTCCCGGGTGGGGAGAGGGAAGCAGGGCATGGCGCCCAGCCACCTCGGAGCAGGGTGCTGGTGTCAGGCTGAGCAGGGACAGGCTGGGGCACAAACCTCACTGTTACGCTCCCAGGGTGCTGGGCACCCTCAGCCTCAGTTTCCCCTCTGTGAAACGAGAAGGGCTATGTGCACTGGCCCCAGCCCTGGAGTGCGGGGCCGAGTCCCATGGAGACTGCCAGGTTGTGCTGTTAGGCTGCAGGCCGCAGCACCCCTAGTTCCCGCCCGAGTGAGAACTGCTGAAGGAGTGGGCAAAGAAAGAGGAGCCCTCGCGGGCAGGCGGCGCGCCCCCTGCATCCCTCTGCCCTTGTCGCGCACAGGGAAGGTGAGCGGCTTCGATGCCTGCTGACCCCACCTGCCCTCCAGTGCACAGGTTCCGTGTGACAGTGGCTCCTGGCACCAAGCTGGAGAGCGGCCCAGCCACCCTCCACCTCTGCAACGACGTCCTCGTCCTGGCCAGGGACATCCCTCCGGCCGTCATGGGGCACTGGAAGCTGTCGGACCTGCGGCGCTACGGGGCTGTGCCCAACGGATTCATTTTCGAAGGCGGGACCAGGTGTGGGTACTGTAAGTATGCTGGGTGCAGGGAGCCGGGCCCCTTTCCCTCTGCCAAGGGCACGCGGCCTCCTGGGGGCCCGGCCCCTGCAGGGCTGAGGTGGCCGGCGGCGTGCTGGTGGGTGAGCGAGCGTGCCCGTGTCCCCCGGGCTCAGCCCCTCCCGGCTCAGCCCCAGCTCCTCCCTCCTCTGTGCCTGCCCCACGCCGGCTGAGCCCGGCCTTCCCCACCTGTGGCTCGTGAGGCCAGCGCGGGTGAGGGGGAGCAATGAGGGGGACACTGAGTCCTGCTGGGCGAGTGCTCAGCCCTCCGCTCCGGAGCAAGGGCATCAGAGGGGACCGTAGGGTGATGGAGGCCCAGCTCCGCTGCTCGGGCCGGGGACCCCGGCTGTGGGGCTCGTGAGCTGCTCGGAGCAGGCGGGAGCGGGCGGGTGTCCCCTTTCTCTTTGCAGGGCTCCTGGGCTTGGGCCGCAGATGGCCCAGTGCACCAGGCCAGGTGGGGCAGCCCTGTTTATTTCCTCTCAGACGGGAGGGATTTTGCTCCCTGGAGGCCTCTGCCAAAGCTGGTCTTCTGTGTGCGTGGCCCCCTTCCCGGGTGGATGTCTTGGGTACCATACATGACTCTGCCGGAGGCAGAAGCCTGGCATGAGCTGTCATGTTTGCTCCAGGCTACTGGAAGACCAGGGGGACACTCCAGGGCAGCCCAGTGCTTCTGAGCGAGGTCCAGGTCAGCCCCACGAAGCAAGCACGCACTGGGCCCGCACTTGGCTGCTGGTCACCTGGTATTGGGTTGGTCTTGGGCACTCTTCCACGGTCCCTGCAGGACAGGACCCAGTCAGAAAGCCTCGGCCCCTTAGATATGCTCACCCTACTATGAGGGCATCCAGGGTCCCTCAACCTTCACCTGACCTGGCACTGTCCGGAGGGCCAGGGCCTGGGTGCTAAGGGTCCAGAGGCCGCAGACAGTGGGCAGATTCGCAGCTACCTTTGAGCTGTGGCACCTCAGGGACAGCGCCGTGCGCAGCCTGACATCCCAGGTCAGCGGAGCCTCTTGTTTTGAGGGTCCCTGGGGTGAGGACTTGGGTGGGGTGGGGCACACAACAAGGAGGCTGCTCAACTTCCATTCCACTGGGGAGGTGGGCGGTGGGGCCCCTTCCGTGGCACGTGACAAGGATATGCTTTGGAAGCCGGCCCTCGTGCGGTTCTGACACGCAAAGCCAAAGCAGGTGTTTTGGAGGGTGTCCACAGGGACACGAGGCCGTGTGAGGACCCCAGGGAAAAGGGGCAGAGAGAGTGGGGTGGGGGGGGACTGGTGGCCCTGGCACTGACCTGCTATGTTCTCGGTGACGCCTGTGGCCCCAGATGGCCAGAGGAGGCGGCTGTGGGGCCAGGAGGGTGCTGGGCAGCCAGAGAGGCTGACCCCAGGGCCATGGGCCCAAGTTGAGGCCAGACTGCCGGCCCAGAAAACGACAGGGAGGGTGAGTGGCGGGAGGGGCTCCTGGCGGGGAGGGGGCTCCGGTCCACTCCAGGGCTGCATTCATGGGCACAGCAGCATCTGGGGCGGGAGACAAGGGACAAGGCCCTGTCCTCTTCTTCTCCGGCAGGGGTGACACTCAGGGCCCGTGGCATCTGGAGTGGCCTCTGTGAGAACAGCACCTGCAGCCCCCTGGTTGGGGCTTCCCACCCCACCTCCACAGCCCGTGGCGACGTCTGCCTGCTCTGGCTTCCCATGGGGCCATTCCGGGAACCTGCCCACGTGGTATCACAGGACAGCGTTTGCGTGCAGGGAGTCTGTCTCCATCCGTGTCCAGGGAGGCGTTTAGGGCTAAGCGGCCACAGCAGGCATCCAGCGTGGGCCTTGGCATCCAGCGTGGGTCCCATCTGGTGCCCATTGGCTGGCACACCTGCCCGGGTGCAGAGGAAACCAAAGCCTGAGCTGCCCTGTGTGTTCCAGGGCGGTGGTTGGGACCGAGGAGGGGGCCAAGGCTGCTGCCCCTCACTCTGTGGTTCCGGTTCGTGTGAGCTCTGGCTGGCGCAGAGGCCACTCTTTTTCCTCTCGAGGAACAAAAGCCATGCAGGGCAGGATAGGCCAAGGTGGTGGCCACCAGGCGGGACAGCTGCAGGGAGCCTGGACGCTCGCAGCTGTCACAGCTAGTTTGCTCTGGGCGGGAGTGGTCCAAGCTGGCGTGGCGTCCCTCTTCCCTCCAAGCTGTGTGGCCTCAGCACACATCTACAAATGAGGGAGACGCTGGGTTTCAGGGGTGACATACAACGCACTTGCAAATTCTCCTGTGAGCTCAGCCTCCGTGTCCTCTTGTCTGCCATGCGATCCTTGTGTCCCTACTGTGGGATGCCGGGAAGAGTTGGCCATGTGCGCGGAGGACAGGCCTGAATCCAGACCCTACGGTGCACAGCCCTGGCCAGGGTAGGGGTCCTCCCCGTCTTGGGGTGGCTTCGCTCCCCAGCAGCCTGTGTGGGAGCGATGCGCCTGGTGGTCTCCGGCTGAGCATCTCAGGCCCTGGGGTGTCAGCTCCCCCCGACCCACCCTTCTGCAGCTGCCCTGTGCCCCTGCACAGTGACTGTGCCCAGGTCTGCAGTCTCCTGCCCCGCGTCAGGGCACGAGGGGTGGGGCTGCCTGCCTTGCTCTTAGGACGGTGTCTTGGTTACTTTTTTCTCGCTGCTGAGACAAAATACCTGACGCCCAAAATTAAGGAAGGAAAGGTTTATTTCGCTTACAGTTTGTGGAAGTTTCAATCTGTGCTTGGCAGATTATAAGGCAGAGTGGCACGTGGCAGAGAGCTGCATCTCAGGGCGGCAGCACACAGCTGAGTCGCGCACACACCAACGCGGAATGGGGCAGGAATGCCCCAAGCACTCTTTTCCTGTCCCTTACATATGCAAACTATCCACTCCCAGGCAGGTGCAGCTCTCACACCCATATTCAAACTCTAATAGCCTGCCCCAGGGCCGCAGGAGGCTTTGGGGGGACACACAGACATAAACCATAACAGACGGCCAGGAGCGGGCCCCTCACAGGGTCTTGGGAGGTGTGAAGAAAAGTGTGAGGGGGGGCCACTCGGCCTGGTCTGAACAAGGGGTGAGCCCAGCTCAGTGGGGCCGCGGGTGTCGGGTGGGGTTGTCAGTGCTGGGCTGGGTGGTCTCAGGCTGGTACGCAGGCAGGCACTGGGTCCCTTTGGGAGCTGCTGGCCCTGAGGTATTTGGAAGTGTGTGTGCGGGCACGTGTGTGTGTGTGTGTGTGTGTGTGTGTGTGTGTGTAGGGGTTGTTGTGGCGGTGATGATCGAGGGAGGGGCCTGTGAGCGTTGTTAGCAGGTGACACCGTGGTATCTGTTCTCCAGGCTGGGACGCAGAGCACTTCCAGGCCCAGAGGCAGCTTGAAGCCTTGCAAGAAGTTTAAAGCTGACGTCCCATGGGTGCTCCTGACTGGGCTCCAGGGACGCTTGCAGCAGGGCAAGCATTTCCTGTCCCCAGCCTCTGCCTGGGGTAGAAGTTGCTCTCCTGACAAGGGACTGGCTTCCTCCTCCACGCCTCAGAGCCACTTGCTCCTTGTCTTCATACCCACGCTGCGTAACAAACAGCCCCATCCCTTGCAGTTCTGTGGTCAGGGATCTGGGCTGTGCTCGACCGCCTGCCTGCTCCACCTGGCCTTGTCCATATCACTTGGTGGTGGCTGTTGGTGGGTGGCAGGCTGCAAAGCATCCTGTGGCCTGCATCTTGGAAGTTGGTGGGGGTCGGGGCCAGGGCTGCACAGGCAGTGGGGGGCTGTCTCCAGGTGGAGATGTGCGGGGTGGGCATGTTAGGAGTTGTGGACACCCAGAGCCTGAGCCTGTTGGGGTTCAGGGACAGAGGGCTCCTGCAGGGTGGTGTCAGCATGGTGCTGGGCCCCGGGAGGCCTTGCCCCTGGTGCTCAGAGGTGGGGTCCAACGGGGGACGGGTGGTGGCAGGAATGCCAGGTAGGCACACCAGAGCCCAGGCTGTGGATCACCAGGCTCCCAGCCTTCGCCCCGCTGCCGCGTCCCCCTCCCCGCAGACGTCCTGGCGGAAGGCAGGGCCACTCTACTCCCTTCGCAGTGGTTTTTTATAGTCGGGGGACTGATTGTCCTGCAGCCTCTGCCAGCTGTCTGTAAGCGCAGGATTAGAGGCCTGGCCTTTTGTGAGTGCTAGGGCTGGGAGGCTGGGCTCTGGCCCTGGCGGGGTGGCCGGTAGGAACCAGGAACCTCCACGAGGTGCTTCGTATGAGCTGGCACCTGGCCTACCCGACCCGCTTGGAGGGCCCCATCCTCCAGGGCCAGGGTGCACGTGAGCCTCTGGGGGTCCTGTGGGGAGTGACACTGTTTTGTCACCTGGTTTAGATGAGGCTTCCACATTCATAGGTGTGGCCCTGCCCTGCGTGCCCTGGGGCGGCCACATGTGCGGCTGGCCGGCAGCCTGCAGCCGCAGCCCTGTGGCTGCCCGGGGAAGGCAGATGCAGCCGGAGGCAGGGCGTTGGGGCTGAGCCTTCTTGATCTGTGCCTCTTCCGGCCCAGCCCCCAGCCACGTGCGAGGGGCCCTGCATGTGGCTGCCGCGTGCCTTTCTTTGGGCAACGGCAGAGACCAGGAGGAGAGGGATTCTTGGGCGGTGACGCCATGCGGAGCCTCTGGCCCACATGCCCAACTCAGCAGGTGGGCGCAGCCGGCCTGGCCTCCCCATTCACGCGGCCAGCAAGGGATTTCATTCACTGTGGCCAGGCTGGGCCCTCCCTGCTGACTCACTCCTCAGTGTGGAGAGAAAGACCACTCCTGCCCAAGCAGCCTACCGATGGCGTGCAGGGGGGCCCTCTGAGGTGGGCGGAGGGCAGAGGCGGCCCCATACGCTCGCAACCCCAATAGCTACCTCGGGAGCTCCGCTGGGGGTCACCCACTGTGACAAGCCATGTCCTGCAATGTGAGCCTGACTGCGGGCAGCCGGAGCCCTGCCGTGCCCCCTCTACCCTGGAGCAGCCGTGGTGCAGGTGGGGAAATGGGTTCAGAGGGCCGGGACTGATCGTATAGCTGCCTGGCGGCAGAGCCTGTGCGTCCCCCCAAGGAGGGCGGGCAGCCCGTCTCGGTGGAGGGATGAGCTCTCGCCCTGTGCAGCCAATGCAGGGCCCCTTCACTGACACAGACACTGTTCCGCCCTCACCCTGTGCCTGGGGACGGGGCCTCGCTTACACCGGCTTCCCTGCCCTTCCCAGGCGCCGCCCAAGGAGCCCCCCTTGTGCCTTGGGGACAGGCTGGAGACCCAACAGGCAGCTGGTGGTGGCTGTGCCCAGCACCCAGCGCCCAGTGCCCAGCTGGCCTGAGACCTTGCAGGTGTCTGATGCCTGCAGTGGGGTCCCTGGGGTACAGGGGAGATTAAGCCCTGGGCTCAGGCCAGTGCCCTGGACCCGGTGACAGAATTTGCTGGAGTTTGCTCAGGTTTCACGCACCCCTCCACCCCACGCCCACTCTGCAAGAGTCCCCTAGCCATGCTGGGCCAGGCTGAGCCCGCATCGCTGTCCTCCCTCTGCAGGGGCCGGTGTCTTCTTCCTGTCCTCAGCCGAGGGGGAGCAGATCAGCTTCTTGTTCGACTGCATTGTCCGCGGCATCTCCCCGACTAAGGGCCCCTTTGGCCTGCGGCCAGTTCTCCCAGGTGCGTGTGGGCCCTGGCCAGGTTGGCTCCGGTGGGGAGGGGGTGCTTGGTGCTCCCACAGTGGCCAAGGCCTGAGAGCCACCCGACTCATTTGCCCAGCCAGGTGGCTGCCTACTCCTACCTGGAGCTAGGAAACTGGGCCCTTGTTGGGCTGGGGTGGTGGCCGGGGCCACACCACCAGGCAGCCTGGGGCTTCTCCATGCATGGGGCCTGAGCTCTAGGCACCCTTGAGGCCTGGTACCTTCTGATGGGGACAGTTTTATCACAGCTGTGTCTGGATGGGCACAAAGAGGCCTGTGGGAACTCCCTGTCCCCCAGGTGATCCCGGCCTATCCCCACGGCTGGGTTCAGGACCGCTTCCTCCGGTGTGTGGGTCTGAGGTACATTTGGGTGGGCACAGGGTCCCCTGGAGCATAGCTTCCCATCTCCACTCCCTGGTTGTAGCTGGGCACCGTGCTCTAGGAGTAGCCAGGGACATAGCCCAGGCACTGAGGGCTTGGGCAGGGCTCCTGTGTTCTGGCCGGCCCAAGGGAGAGGCCCGGTATGGACAATCTCTGACGCTCTCCTCACCCTCAAGAGGACAGAACTCGTCCTGCTGCCAGGGTGCAGCCTGGGAGGACAGGGCAGCAAACTGTACTGCTCCCAAGGTGGGCACATCCCCCCATAACCCCAGCACACTCGCCACCCACCCCAGAAGCCTCAGGTGGCCCAGTCACCCGAGAGAGAGGAGGCAGCTCCCAGCCTGGAGCCCTGCTGCTGCCAGGCTGTGCAGGATGGTGTGGCAGCGCCCCCTGCTGGCATCATCCTGCCTTGCGGCTGCAGGCACAAATACCCTGGGCGCAAGCGGTGTTTGGACACAGGTCTCCATCCTTTGTGACCCCCAGAGTTATGGCACGGGGCAGCAGGTGCTAGGGGCCAGGGGAGGGCACCACCCAGTATGGGCAGTCACCAGAGGGACTTGCACTCCCCAGGGGGCAGACTTGATGGGGATGGCCTGGGGTCTGCGCCTGCAAGCCAGGAGCCATGGGCGTCCTGTGAGGCTCGGCAGGGAGGACTCAGTCACCCAGGGGACAACAGTGGCACCTTGGTGGGCGTGGGTGGGGCCTGTCCAACTTAGATGGCTCCATTTCGGGGACCCAGGCTGAGCAATGGGGCCTGCGTGGGGGCTGCTTCAGCATCCTGAGCGAGGTCCCAGCATTTGGCCGAGGCATGGGAAGGTCCAGGTCACGGGGAGCCCTGTGTTGGGGGACCCACTGTGAAGTCAGCAGTGTAGGGGCTGGGGCGGGGGCAGCAGAGCCTCACACCCATCTCTCTGCCACAGACCCGAGCCCCAGTGGGCCCTCAGCCATGGAGGAGCGCTCGGCCCAGGAGGCCCTGGAAGCCTTGCAACTGGAAAAGCGGCTCAGCATCCTGTCTCACGTGGGTCGGCCAGGCAGCGGAGGTATGGCCGGTGTGACCCAGGGTGGGCCAGGGGGCCTCATGCACAGCCCATCTCCCAGCAGGGTCAGACAGCCACTTCATGCCCCACCTGCGTGTGTGCAGCCGTCACCCACCCACCCACTCTCCCTCCATTCCTGCTTCTCTTCTGGCTCTTTCATTCATGATGCCTTCTTCCTCATACATCCATTCACCTATCCACCCATCCATCCATCCACCCACCCACCTATCCACCCATCCATCCAACCACCCACCTACCCATCCATCTATCCACCTACCCATCCATGCATCCATCCATCCATCCATCCACTAACCCATCCATCTATCCATCTACCCATCTATCCATCCATCCATCCAACCATCCATCCCTCCATCTATCCATCCATCCATCCATCCATCCATCCATCCATCCATCCATCCACCCATCCACCCACCCACCCATCCACCCACCCACCCATCCATC